CTTCATATATCTGCAATGGAAGATTTAAGTAAAGTCTTGATCAAATTTAATGAGAATGCCACAGCTGAAAATTTGCGGTGTGAATTAACTAGTCTAGCTTTGCATTGGGACAAATTGAAGACATCAGCGCTAGAAGAATACACTGTAAGGGTGTCAAGAGAAACGCCCATGGAAGATCTAAGTCAACAATTTGATGAAATGGAGCTGTTAAATAAGCCATGTGCAACATGTAAGAACTGTGCCATTTGTTGCTATCAAATTCTACGGCGCTACAATTTATTAACAGATGCCTATAATGTGATAGGTCTAGCCTACAAATTCCTACTGACTCTATCATTTACTCAAGTTGCTTGTGAGAGAAGCTTCTCCACCTTGAGGTTCATCAAGAATCGACTGAGGAATACTGTATCCCAGGACCATTTGGATTCATTCATGTTAATGGCTACAGAAAAAGAAATCCTCATGAGTCTTGATGTGGATGCCATCATCAACAGAGTTGCAGAGAGTAGTGAAGCCCTGCAAAGTCTTCTTATTCCTTGATGACGTATCATTCCTAAGTCTTTCCAGTATTAGTAGGGTTCAAATTTAAAATGTTCAAATCATAAACGAGGTAGAAAGTTCTTGAGCCGAGCCTTTTGTTCCTGGTGGAAGTGTTGATGTAGGAGGATCTGCTACTTATGTCTTGTTCACATTGAACGTTTTGTTGCAGTTATGTTTAATGATCTAATGTTTCAATACATTAAAATAGCTATAAGATCTCACATTGTACTGTTGGTGTTTTTTGTTTAGAGAGCACTAGCACTGACAAATTTAAACATTAAATTTTAATTACACTTTTTGTTAAACGTGATGATTTTATAGGTTTAGATTTCCTGATGCTCCTTGTTATTTATACAACCAGGGCAATGATTGGGATAGGGAGAACTCATAAGCATGTACCAATACCACTATACCAGCAACGTCCTTTCAGCGCCCCACAATATCGTGAATGGAGCCCACAACAAGTGGGCCTGTGTCCCCACAGCCGGTGGGCCTGTGTGCTCTAAATGCCAGGGCCGATTTTTGGTCCCAGTCCAGCCCTGACACAAACCTTGTGTTTGCACTGCCACTGCAGAATTTTGCTAATATGATTAGCACTGTTTTGACAATGAGATCTAACTGGTTGTAAGGAACTATTGGAAGAACTCTTCTTTAGGTTGCTTTCCGTTCAGCCATAAGGGCTCAAAGGAAGTGTGGCCTTCATGCTGTGGGGGTTTGAAAAGCCTGCTGCATGCTTGGAAGTGGGCCAGACTTGTCTACTGCTACGGATTATTTCCAGCAGAATTTGCAGTGTAAAGGTAGGTGGGTAGCTGTTGGGAGTGGCATTATGAAGGAGATAAGTGGTCCAGAGTGCTGATATAATGGTTTCCAAAAGTAAAATTCATGTTAGGTGCTTATATGTTAATGCTATGTTTGTTTCATGCACTCTGTGTTAGAGTGATGCATTTGAACAAGAGAGGGCCTTTTTAAGTTGCTATCTGATTCAGTCTAGGCCCCAAAACATGTGGTGTGGGATGGACGAACATTTTTCCATTCTCATGTGGAAAGCAGACTTCTGTAATGATAGGATTCTATGCATCGCTTTTTTATTGTTTATACATCTACATGCCTTCCTCCTCTTTGCTGCCCCATGTAACTGTATTTTTTTTAAAAAAATAGTTTGCCATTGCCTTTGAGGTTTCTTTTTTTTTCTTGTTTTTTTTTTATTTTCGTGTTGTTTGCTGGTGAGTGGGTACATGGTGATTTATGTATTTATTTGTACATGATAAATAAATAAATAAATAAATAACAGTTATGATTCCACCCTGTTACCTTTCGGTAGCTTAGTGGAAGAATTAAACAATCACTTGACCTTCGCTTAATAGTTTTTGGACTTTGAAAGTCTGTAGGTTTATAAAAATCATTTCTGCTCATCTCTTCACCACTGCCATTTCCCAGTTAAATGATACTCATGCCAGTTCTGATCCCTTCTTACAATTTTCTGTCTAGGAATACATAGTTACAGAGAGGAAGAGAGGAAGGAACTTGACTGATTTGTCTTATTGCAAGCATTTCTCTGGTGGTAATCTTGACTCCAAATACTGAAACAGCTTGACTGAAAACAAGGATTTTTGTTTTTCATATTAGCTTGTATCTTAAACAAGAAGAGACGAAGGCTTTCCTCTGGCCCTATGTTCCTTGCACACTTCAGTTATCATTATTATTTAATTTCCATTTAACAGTTGTCATCAAGGCACCAGCGGTATGACGTCACAGTGATTCTCTCTTTTATCTCAATAATTAGCCTATCAATACCAGACCCACATGATGGGAGAGGCCCGTTGAGTGGCTTCCAACTGCCACTGTCACTTTCCCACCAACCAGCATCAACTGGCAGAATCACAGAATGCCAATTAGGTGACAATAAGAATAAATGTTTAGTGATCTCCAGTCATAAAACAGTGGGCTAGCAAAGATTCACACTGAATCCATATTATTAATCAATTTCTGAAAAATGTGAATTATTTGAAATTATTTGAAAATGCAGTTAAGTGTTGCAAATTTGCATGAACTAGCAAATGTACCAGCATTGGATCGATGTTTTGTATCCTTTTAATCTATCAGCCTGACTTTCTGCTTGCTGCATAAGTGTGCTTAAAGGCACGAAATCTCTGCTTTTCGTGCAAATTTAGGAAAAGCACATGTTTATGCATTTGTGCTGCATTTTTATGAAACTGCATTTTTATGAAACAAAAAAGTATTTATCTTGCTCTTGTATTAGAGATTAGCATTCTTGCAGGACTTGAGCAGTTTTTGAAAGTCTTATTGTTTCGAGACATCCTGTCTTGATGAGATTTCTTCACATCCTTAGCTTCTGTATTACCTATTGTATCAAATAATGGCCGTCATCTGATTCAGTTTACCTCACATATAACTGGAAACACGGAAGCAGCTGCAGCAACACAGATAAGTCAATCTGTCAATTTGCTTACATGGCTGGGTACATGGGGGAGAGCTGTTATATTCAGACATTGGGACCAGTGGTGACGGCAACTTCCAGAGATTAAAGGCTTCCTTGTCTGCATGCCGAGGCCCCTGAAGGCTTCCTTCGGTCTAAAGAGATGCCCCAGGGAACACTGGAACCTAGGGGCCAGGATGGGAAGTTTTTCATTAATTTAATTTAAATTAAATTCAAGATTGACATGATCCACAGATGATGTCATCAGCATTTACAACACACAGCTCCATCAATAGGATTTCAGTCAATATCTCAAAGTAGTGAATAATTTAGTGCCCCTGTTCTATTAAAATGCATAATTTTCTTGGAGATTTGTTCAGCAAAACTGTACACACTCCTTTTGGGGAAAATATCTACATTAATGAATATCTGACACAACTCTACTTCTGTCAAAATTAAGTAAATAAAGAAAATAAAAGTCCCATGAGATCCTAAGTCCCTCAACCCTACTATAATTTCCCTTTCAAAACATGATTCACTAACATTCAGGAAAGTCATGCAGCAAAGCCCACACGTACAACACCAGGAAAAATTTAGCTCATTAAACAAAGGAGAATGTCATCTGCAGACGAGTGTAAAATTAATCACGTTTCCTTCCCATTATGACTATTCAGTCAGAACTGCAGTTCTGCAATGTGGGCAAATAAACTACCGCAGGTAGCTTGCAAGGCACACTTTGTTTTAATATTCTCAAACAATTACCGTATGCAAATATTACTTTTGAGTACACTTGGTTTATGCCACTGTGTGCGACACAGATTTGCCCTGTTTGACTTTACCAACTTGATACAGTCAATTTTTCAAGGCACTAGAGTAAGGAGTTAAACGCCTACCCACACAGAACACAGTAACAAGAAGAATGAGAACTGCGAGCAAAACAGTGAAATTAAACCGCTTGGACTCTTAAGTGGAAAGAATGAAGAAAAGGACAATTTAAAAGGTCAAGAGTTGGAACACCTTTTTGAAACACTGAAGAATGTCAAGCTCTCTCTCTCTCTCTCTCTCTCTCTCTCACACACACACACACACACATTTAATGTGTGTATGTGTCTGTTTTAAAAAATAAAGGAGGACAATGAGAGATTTTACCAACATTTTCATTAACCATCTTGAAATAGATTTTTTATGAGAATGTCCATTTGTCCAGTTTGTAATGTGTGATGACATTTTCCCAAAGGGTTCTTAACTGATTTGAAATGTACATACACATTTTGCTAAATTTATTGTAACTAGTCAAAAGGGCCAAGTTACTTTACAGATGCATAAGCTAGAGTCTTTTAGTGTTGCAATTGCTTACTGTGACCCATGTGAACAGAAACAGCTCTACCAGTACACACATTCAGAGAAATCTGTTTCTAGAAGGAGTAGGCCTTCGAACAGTAGCAAAGGTGTAACTGTGACAACATATCCAAAGGAGAAGCATATGTACTACCTGGATTGTGTTTGGAGTATAAACAATAGCTTCCTTTGTCCGTTTAATCTTGCCATTGCACATAACCCTCCCTGTAGGAGGGTGTCAAAACCAATTAAACAGATTTCAATAGAAAACAATACAACAGCAGAAATGACTCATGTGTCTGAATATGTGTGTTGGCTCTCAGATAGAGTGCCAGCTCTCAGGGTGTCAGCTGGAATCTCTGAAAATTGCTATGCTTCTCCAGGCCTCCAGACACAGAGACAAATCCCAAAGAATGTAGCACCACAGATGGAAATAGTCTGAATTTGTGTGTGATGTGGCTTACAGCCCAGGCACCCATCCGGGCTCACTGGCTCAGTCTGCAGTTACCCATTTGTGCATTGCTCCAAATGACATGATGGGCCCAAGTGCTGTACTCACCACCGCTCTATTTCTTTCCACTCCTAATTTTTGGCAGGGATGTTGGCAAGTCTTTGGGTCTGAATCCCAAGTCCAAGTCTTTGGTCCCAAGTCTCAAGCTAAGTCTGAGTCCCTGTGAAAAACGAGGAAAAAAGCAATGGGTGGATGGATTCCAAGTCATGAGTCAAGACTGAGTCATTGGAAAACAACAACAACAACAACCCCACGTCGAGTCCAAGTCCGACGTGACAGCAAATCTCACAACTTGAGTCCTCATCCCTGGATTTTGTGCCATTTGGAACAAGCCAGGGAACAGACCACCAATGTGGCCACTTGTGAACTTCCTTATTTCCACAAATCGTAGCAGCAGTGAAACTCAACCCTGAGGAAAAAAAAACCATTGGTTTCTGAGCTTTCCCTATACTGCGTCTATGATATCATAAAGGCCCATTTCATGACATTGTAAATATCCAGCCCATGATCTCAGGTTTTGGTTCCAACCTAGCAACCTTACTTTCAACAGAAAAAGACCTTATGTAGGTGTTGTCTCACTGTGTATGTACTCACCACAAACAGAAGGAAATCAGGATCCCTCCTCATTGGAGAGACACCAGAATAGCAGGTCTCTCTATCTTCAGGCTTGTTGCTCTTTTTCTGTAGAAGGGTGCCAAAACAAAAAAAATGTTGATGGTAGAGCTAGAATATTCCACTATACCCATGATGATTATATACAATCAGCAAATGAATAAATTAAAATGACTCCATTAAATGGATAAGGTCAAGAAGAGACAAAAGAGGGAACCCCTCACATAATGTGTTGATATAATTTACTCCTGCAAGATGTGATTCTTACCATTAGCCTAGAAATACAGTGGTACCTCGCAAGACAATTACCCTGCAAAACGGTTTTTTCGCTAGACGTTGACTTTTTGCGACTGCTATAGCGATTCGCAAAATGGTGTTTCCTATGGGGGATTTCGCTGGATGATGATTTGGTCCGTGCTTCGCGGACCGGTTTTTGGCAAGACAACCATTTTTACAGCTGATCGGCGGCTCTGCAAAATTTCTTCCCTAGGGACGATCTTCACAAAACAGGTGTTTTCGGGACAAACTTCGCAAGACTGATTCTAACAGCTGATTGGCACTCTGCAAAATGGCTTCCGTATGGGCTATTTTCACTGGACAATGACTATTTTCCCCATTGGAACGCATTAAATGTGTTTCAATGCATTCCAATGGGGAAACGCTTTTTACTACACTATGTTTTCACAAGACAGTGATTTCAATGGAACGGATTAACAGTGTCTAGTGAGGCACCACTGTATTTTAAAAGAAATCAGAACCATTCCTGGAGGTGCCACGGTCCTCCCCGTCACCAAGCCAAAGTAGAGGGGATAAAGGGGTTAAAAAGCCCAACTCCACCAGTCTCTCAATCCTGGGTTTCAGCACCAGGAAAAGCTGTCACTCTAACCCCTTGGATGAAGCCCTTTCAGTCAACAGACACCAGGCAAAAATGGTGAATCTTCTTGAACTGAGGCTCCAGGTTTTATTAAAACAGGCTGCAGCAAATAGAGATTCAGATACACACAAGTGTGGGTGGCCAGTAGTCTGGGGACCCTGAGATTAGGAATATAATTTCTTTACATAGTCATAGCAAAACAAGCTTGTTTACTTCATTCTGCAGAAGCCTAATTCCTTATCACTTTTTCCCAGCCTGTCATTTTTGGACCAGACTGGTTCCCTACATGCAAAACAAAATTGAGTCACCACCCAGGCCATGCACTGTGTCACGGTCCACATACCAATGTTTTAACAAAACAGGATATGTATGCTGTGAACTGATAAGGACCGTTAAGGGGTAGATGATTTTTCAGCATTGTTGCCCTCACAGTGTATAAATGGTATGGAGGTATGAGGTCAAAAGTAGCCTGCACTGGCTGAAATCCTGAGCATGAAGCTACACTTGCAGAATGGTGAAGACATCATGAGCAGGGTGAGATTTTCAGTAATGAAAGACTTCCTCCTCCTGCCCTATGGCTTCCAGGGTGATGAAAAATATTATTCACAAGTCAGAAAAGCCATAGGATAGATATCTCCCACTGCTAAAAATATCCTCCTGCTGGTGACTTCATTACCCTTCTGCAGGCATAGTTATGCCAGCAGGATTTAAGCCTTTGAATACTAACTGCAGGAGGCAAGCAGGGGAAGCTGGGTGGAGAGCTCTGTGTTTATGCTTCCTGGAAGCCCCTAAACAGTATTGCTGGAAACGGGATGCTGGACTATACGGACCTTTCAAATCTCATTGAGGAAGTTATGAAAAAAAAAGAGTTGATCCTTTGCACATTTTCTTTTTTTGTGTGTGCATAAGTTACTTTTCTAAATTACTTTCTCAGGTATCACCTGACAATATAACTGGCAAGCTCAGATTCTGCATAGAATGCATCTGATTTACTTGCTCACTGTTTCATTTCCTTTTTTACCTGTGAACTTTTGCTAGAGCCTTGATTAGGTCCCTGGCATTTGACAATGGAAGAACCCGGGTTTTGGGACCCCTCTCCCGCTTCTTCTCCATCTCCATAATCTACTTTGTGTTGTGCTGCAACTGTGACATTTGATGCATTTTGAGGTGCCTTTCAAGGGATTTGAAGAGATAATATAGTCAGTTCAATGTAAGCTTTATCTCTCTGGAGACAAAGGAGAGGGGGGGATATCAGCATGACTTAAAACATGAAGTAAACAAAAAGGGCAATGAAATAGCAATGGCAGAATACTGCGCTCTTTCCTGTGTGGCCTTGGTTTCTTGTTTGCCTGATTGTTGCAAAATAATATAATAGAAAACTGAGACAAAAGGCACCATCATCTAGTAGTAGTAGTAGTAGTAGTAGTAGTAGTAGTAGTAGTAGTCATCACCGTCATCATCATCATTTATTTTGCTGATGCTTGAGGGCAGACAAAAGGGCTAAACCTAAAAATCTGGTTTTTAAAATTTCAATAAGCAAATTAGCAGCTATGGGGAATTGTTTCAGATTGGCATCCACAGATTTTTAATAGCCCTAGCTGCTGGAATTATTATGGGGAAGATGGTGACCTGATCTTGTTTTCATATACTTCTAATTTCTTGCCTTAATGCTTGTTGCAGGTTTTTTCGGCTCTTTGGCTGTGTTCTTAAGGTTGTTCTTCCTAACGTTTTGCCAGTCTCTCTAGCCGGCATCTTCAGAGGACAGCACTCTGTGCTCTGGTGTAGTTTGCTTGGGTGTTGAGTATTTATGGATGTGAGATAGGCTTTTGTCCTTTTCATGTGGTTGGGTAGAGTTCGTGACCTTTTGCATGCTGTATTTTTGAGAACTGGGAGCCAAGTTTTGTTGAGTTTCAAACTTTCCTCTTTTTTGTTGAAGTTCTGCTGGTGCTTGTGGATTTCAATGGCTTCCCTGTGCAGTCTGACGTAATGATTGCTGGTGTTGTCCAGTATTTCAGTATTTTGAAATAGAATTTCATGTCCAGCTTGTTTTAGGGCATGTTCAGCTACTGCAGATTTTTTTGGTTGTCTTAGTCTGCAGTGTCTCTCATGTTCTTTGATTCTGGTGTGGATGCTTCGTTTTGTGGTTCCAATATATACCTGTCCACAACTGCAAGGTATCTGGTATACTACTACAGTGGTGAGGGGGTCCCTTCTGTCCTTTGCTGACCGTAACATTTGTTGTATTTTTGTGGTGGGCTTGAATACTGTTTGTAGGTATTTATTTTTCCTTCCTCTGAATTGCCTTCTTTCCCTACCTGACCCAAAGCGCTGGGGGTGAGCTCGGGAAGAGCTTTGAGTCCTGGGCTGCTGCTGTGAGTTGGAGCAGATGGTGGTGCAAGAGTGGATGGAGCCGGAGTTCAGAACGTGCGGGTTGACTGGTGGCTGCTTGGCAGAGCTCGGAGGTTCCTTGTTCAATCTGGGAGGCACCTTGGCAGAGGATCCAGAGACTGGGGACTGGAGACTGGTGAGATCCTCCCGACGGAGTGGATCCGGACGGAGTGCCTGGAGTGGAAATCACTAAGAGGGTGCTGGCGCCGGGAGTGTTGTGGCTGTCTGAGGGCACCTGTGAGCTCCCAGGAGTGTTGGAACACTGGCGCAATGTTGGGTGTCCGGAGGGTAATCCTTTCCCCAGGACCTTCTTTCTCCATCTGCTCTCTGTGGTTTAACAACAATGTCTTCCTAGCCGGCTCCCAAGGGTGGAAAATAGCAGGGACTGCACCTCTTCCAGCTCAGATTCCGGTGCTTCTGATGCCGTTTGTGTATTTTATTGTGAACTCTGTGCCCACTATTGAGAACTGTGAGTCCTGCCCCACTAGTAAGATCCCCAGCCCAGCCCCATTAATAACATCAAAAAGGACAAAGCCACATGGCAGAGAAGGACAGTTCAGAACTATATGTGGGGGATAATCACTGTGGGATTTTCTAAATAGTTTTTTAGTATATAATTTACTTTATAATTTGGTTCTTTAGTTATTACACTGTATTCGGTTTAAGTATGTTTATTTTATGTATGCTATTTTATATATTTTTACTACACTGTATCTCGTTAATGTATTCTTATTTTGTTACTTAATCTGTTTGTATTAATTTTTTTCTCTTCCTCTTTCTCTCCCCTCCTCTTTTCTTTGATATGGAATGGAAGGCCTGCTCTCCCAGCGAGGGCCCCCTGAACATCTCTGTGATTACGGGTAGAGGGAGATATTGTGTTGGCACAGTCCCTACTCGTGTCAGAAGAATGAAGAACAGATGCTTGAAGGCTGTTCATTGTTCTGAGACTGTGATCAACCCTCAGTATTGAGGTAGTCAGACCAGCCAGCCCTCCACTCTAAAACTGGGTGCTGTTGAATGCCAGGTCGGTATCTAATAAGGCCCAGGTGATTTACGACCTTATCCTGGAGGAGGATGCAGACCTGGCATGCATGAACGAAATGTGGATTGGCAGAGAAGGGGGTCCTCCCCTAGCACTTGTCTGCCCGCCCGGTTATGTTGTCCAGCACTAGGGTAGACTGGAGGGGCAGGGGGAGTAGCCATTATATATAAAAATAGCTTGGAAGTTGCTAGGTGCTTCACGGTGGTAAAGCTGGGTCTGGAGGCTCTCCATGTGTCGACTGTGGCCAGAGATGGTATTGGGATCTTGCTGGATTACCACGCTCTCCACGACCCAGCCATCTCCCTACCGGAGCTGGTGAACTTTGTCTCCGCGACACTGTTGAGATCCCTGAAGCTGCTGGTTTTGGGTGATTTCAACATGCACACGGGGGCAGAGACTCCTGGGCCAGCTCTTGAGTTCTTGGAAAGCATGCCTTCCTTGAACATGTCCCAACATGTCAACGGCCCCACCCACATGGGT